CCTTGTTGCTTGTGGCCACAACAAAACAGACGCCGGTCAAATATGCAGGCAGAAAACAATGAAAACTACTTTGGGCCAAAGTCGGGACGTGTGTGGAAGACGTGACGTGAGGCCAAAAACTGTGCCTTTGCTTTGTTTGGCCCTTTTGTCTTGAATGCTATAAAATGCATGGCACAGCACAGCTGTGCTGTCCCTTGCTGTTGGCCACGTTTTACTTTGTTCAATTATTTTCAGGCTTTAACAACACTGACCGCGCCTCTTTATTAAACCGTGGGCGTGGCCCAGTTAAGAAATTTTATCAGCCGAAAATAAAGAGTTAGCCTTTTATGGCTTAAAACCGCAGGAAGAACCAAAAATAAAAAGCAAGATATAAATAATTGCCTTGCTTGCTCAGCTGTAAAAGGAAGCTGGGGGAGGGGGATGAGTAGGGGTGAGTGTGTGTGCGTGCGTGTGTGTGTGTGGCATATAAACTGCTTAATGTGGCTGGCATTGTCTTCCAGTGCAACGCACATTAGTTTTCGGGCCAGCCCAAAAGCCCAGGCTGGCAACCGCAAGCATTGCTGCTTGTTTATCATGAGCTGCTTCTTCTTGCTACCCGCTGGTAAATGTAATTTACCATGAGAAAACAGAAAATTTGTTTATTATGAGAATGCAGCGAGGCGTAGATAAGCAACTGCCAAGCGACCAGTTGAGAGATAGTTGATGGAGAGAGGGGGAGAGAAGGAGGAGAGAAAGAGTTGACCACGCCCAGCCGCCTGCCTGACCATGTTAATTGCTGTGGCTGTTGCTCAGTTGCCAACAAAATAAATGCTTGTAAATTATTGTCAGCTGTGGAATTTTGAGCCAAGTTTTTGCAGATAGTATCTAGTATCTGGTATCTCGTATCTAATATCTGTTGTGATTGCAAATTACGCGTGCAACTGCATCTCAGAATATATATACGTTTTTCCACAAGGAAATGAATGAAATGAATGTATATGCAAAAAGGCAATTCTTCTTCTTCAGTGGCAAGCCCTAAGCTCCCCATGCCGCCTGTGAGTAATTGCGACCCATAAATAATGTGTCTGCTCTGACGCCCTGTCACTGCGGGGCGGCTAAGCGGACGGGTGGGGTAGATGGTGGGTCGTCGTCGAGAGCAAGGGGCATGCAACACAAGGACTTGCAACGTTGCCAGCAATTTCTTTTGATAACTCAATGCGTCGTTTATGCGCTTTGTTTGCCTCGCGCTCAAGCGGAAATGCACAAGGCGAGTTAGGTTGGGCTATTGGATGGAGGAAGGGTAGGAGGAGGGAGGGAGTGGCCAACAGCGAGGTTTCAGTTTAATATGTACACGATTTGAAATACGCACGAACAACACTTTTATTGCCACTTAAAAGCTGAGCTATTTAAATGGCATTAAAGCCGACAGCGACTACGTGAGCTGCCATTAACTTAATGCCTAATTTGTATGGATTTCAGGAATTTCAAAGAAATTATTAAACGAAAAGTGGTTGCTGGTCTGCGGCTTAGCTGAAATAGCTTTCCTTTTCGATTTGGGTCTCACATTTTAACAGGGTTCGGCTTTCAGCTGGCGCTTGCAAACGCATGACCACAAGCAAAGCTTCAAAGTTTGTGGTAAGTTTTGACAAATACTTTCTTAGAAATCAAAACAGTTTTGAGGCAGACTTTGATTTCATTTAGCAGTTCTTTTTAAATCGATTGTAAACTTACAGAAAAGCAATTCTAGATTTGACCACTGTACTATACTTTCTAGGGTAGAAATCAAAAATCTCGCTCAAGGAGGATAATATTATGAATAGCCTCGAACTTGAAGATTTTGCTCAACTCTCATTCGCGCCCGATTCCAAAGTACGTTGTGTACTTAGTATTAATTAATATTAACACAACTTAACATTTTTACTTAAACTAACGAAAGCTAACTTCTAAAACTGGTTAAGATTCTCTAAGATGCGAATATTATGTCAAGCATCAGATCGAATTATAAGATTGACCAATATTGTTTATTAATGTAAAGCATACTCAAAATCATAAAAGGCACATATCTCTGCCTTATGCGCTTTATATAAAAGTTTTATAAGCTGTAATATTGATTTCTATTACAAACTCCTGTGGTATCTCAAGCACAACTGTGCACAGCATTTTTTGGTGCTGTTTCTGATGTAGATAAATTGACTTTTTAGTTTTTCATTTGCATAAATCTGAAAATTTCAACATATTTATAAATTATGGCGCCATATTTCAAATTATATATGCATATATATCTCTGTCTGGCTCATATTTTACATCAGCTAAATCACAAGAAATATAAGATAAAAATAAAGTAAAGAATTGCTCTAAGCGAAAGGCTCCTAAAGTTGCACAAGTGAGTGGAAGGGGAACAAAGTTCACAGGATGAGTCAGTTGCTGTCAGGCACATGACACACACACACACACAGACGCACACACAGACGCACACACAGACACACACACAGACGCACACACAGACGCACACACAAGCTAGTGTCACGCCCTTGAGTTGTTGCTGTAGCTGTTGCTGCTGCGTTGTTAATTTCATTCATTATTTATGGTTTACCTCGTCGAAAACGCATTGGCGCTGTTGGGCACCAACTGGCATTGCAGCCGCTTTTACACACACCTCCCCCTCGCTGGCACTCTGCCTCTTATTCTCTCTATCTCTCTCACATGCACACTATCTGTCTCTTCCTCTCTCACTCTTTCAGTTACACTTTTAATTAACAAACGCACGAAAATGCTATTTTACATGAGACATGTCACAGCGCAGAGAACTGGAGTTGGGTTAAGTGGCATACGCTGTCTGCCCAGCTACATGTCTGTGTGTGCGTGTGTGCGTGTCTGTGTGTGAGTGCATTGCATGAGCGCACTAATTTACAAGGCACACACACAAGCACAGGCACACGCATGCCACACCAGTCGCATTTCATATGCAGCCATCGCCGCAACTCCACTTCGCGTTGCGTATACGCCAGGTTAACCTGTGCATTAAAGCGCTACATATTGCGTATACGCCGGCTGAGCCGGCGCAACGTTTCTTAAAGCTACTTTTTCCAGCAATCGAAGGCAGAGTGTAAATTAGAACATTTTTGCGTCAGAGCTGATTTAAATTTAAGAGAATATTTATAATTTCGGAGAGACTTAATTGTCAGTAAAAACTAAATTAAATTATAAATTAAAACAGAAAACAATTAGAAATAAAATTAAGAAGAAAACAAGTAAATGGAACTTCGCCAAGTTTCAGGATTAAATTATTTTAATAATTAATTACAATTTATTAAAGAGATTTTTAAAACTTTTGACTCGTTTTTAGAAGTGAAAATATAAGAATCTAATTACATGAAAATTCTAAAATATTATTGCCATGCTCACTTCGGCTGCTACATCACTAGAAGAGTATACTAGAGTATTGTCCAGTCGGGGTAAGCCAATTGTAACAAATTTTACTTGCCTGAAGCCTACTTTCTGGCACTTTGGCTGACGCATTGTTTTGTGCTTTTGCCATTTGGTGGTCTAGAAAATTTTTGGGCCTGCTGCAATTAAAAGCGCACATTAATCAACAGGCTGCGCGGCGGAAATTGCGATTGGCGAGTGCCGAGTGGCAAACCAACCTCTTCTCCCGCTTCATCTAAATAGTGTGGAGCTTCATTTAGGGGCAGATCTCACCGCACTTTCCGCTACCCTGCGAGGCGCTGACTTTAATTTATTTAGACCAAATACAACGCAAGCGAAAAATGGCAAACGACAGAAATTTATCTCTCGCACGCCTTGTCGCATAAATTATGTCGAAGAGGCAAAAACACCAACGCACCAGCCCCTCTAACTAACAACCCCTGGCCTGGCTAGCATAGTGGCACAGTCAGCGGCGTTGGGCGAAATTAATGAAAGCGACGCAGCGGCAAAAGATGCCGAAGCAGCGCAAAACAAAGAACAAAAGACATTTAAAATGAACTAAAATCAAATGAAATGTTGCGAGCGGGGGTGGCAAACGGTAAGTCGTACGGCGTTGCGCCTAATGACAACCACAAAATGAAGCAGCTGGCAGCGGAAACGGAAATGAAAGCAACGCGCAATGCAGAATGAAAAACGGCCGAAAGACAGCGACGAATGACAACGAATGATGCCGGGCGAATGACAACAACGCCACGAACGATGTTGCATGCAACAAATCAGAAGCGTTGCGCGTCCCACAGCAAATGTTGCATGGCAAATGCGATTGTCAAGCAATGACCTCATTAGAGGAGCTGGCGTGAAGAGCGTCTCACACACACACACACAGAGAGACACAGACAGGCGAAACAGAAGACAAAAAGGATGTGGCAACTTCTCATGCTGCACGCAGCAACCGCAAGCAATTAAAGAATGCTTGTGGCAGGGCAGAGATGCGGCGTGTTGACTAAAGCGCTGGCCTGCAGGCGAGCTGTCAACATGCATACAGCGTCATATACGTCAAGCGTGTGACATGAGACGCAGGGGCAACAACAGCAGCAGGAGCAGGAGCAGGAGCTTCTAATAAGGGAGATATAATCAGTGATACCCTGTAATTGTGTTGGTCAACAATTATAGATAGCATTTCGTCGAGCAAAGGTTAATAACTATATTAAATGCAAACATCCTAGTTTATTAAATATATATACATTTAATTGTTATTTCTTTATCCAAAGTTAATTACTATACCATATTTTATAAGTCTAAATAGTTAAATATATATATATATATATTAATTACATTGGTCAACTTCAAAGTAAAACAGTTCGTCAAGCAAAAATTTACGTATATATTTTGGCCTTGGTTAATTAAATTTATATTTTAATATTATTGAAAATATATATTAAATGTATATACTGTTATTTATATTTAAATATAATATTTTTTGAATATCTCCAAATATATACAAATAATTAATTTGAATTTTAATTATTTTTTATCACTTATTAAAAAATTTGCAAGAAATAATATATATAATATACATATGTTAGAATACTTACCATAAGTTCAGACTCTAGCGTAGATAAACATCGACTTCCATTGTAGTCTCTGTAATAAAAGAAATCAATGTAAATCATTATATCAATATATACAATTTCGATTATAGTATGGCTCGCTTTTAAGCATACAAAGCAACTTTAATCCTAATTAAATATATACAAGCAAGCACATATCAATTTTTCTAGGCTCAGCTTTTGTAGCCTCCAAGCTCCTTGAGAAGGACTCCTTAGGGACATATTTAATGCACACATATAATAAATCAAAGCATTTCTAAAAGTCTGCAAGTTCTGGATCTTTAGGAGTTAAAGTAAGCAAATATTGGTATGTATGTTCTTTAAGAGCAAGATCTAATAAATTGTGTATGTGGGTTCTGTTAATATTTATAAGCATTACAGATACTTGCATCAAATTAAGGACAATTCGGATAAGATACATAAATTAATGATATATTACAGACGGCTATCACTATGTATTCGAGCCTCCTATCAATTTCAGTACTTCAGACTTTATTACAGGGTATTCTTAAGCATAGTTTCTTTTGATAACGCTTTAAGGCTCACAAAAACTGACAGCTCTGGGACAATGACATTGTGCTTTAGAGGCAACTTCAGCTTGCCCACTTTCAGCTGTCACACGCAGCTCTCCACCAGCTGTCGACCGCAATCATAAAGACACTCACCCACGCACACGCACACACACACACTCACACAGAGAAGATACAGCTCAGGATTGAAGAAGAACTGGAAGCCTTCATATAAGTTACTTTAAGCTTCTAAGCTGGCTTAGCCTCGGCGTTGAGTAACCAAGCAAATTACGTCGCATTTAAGTTTCATAATATGCTTAAAATTAAAACTCAAAAACTTTCTCATCTACTTCTCTCCCTTTTTTTTGTTGCTGTAGGATTTAAAGGTAATGTTTTCTTTGGGCATTGTTCGAAACTACAAAACGAAACACCTGCCAGACAAAAGACAAAGGGAACGCGGTGCGGGCATGAGCGGGTTGCGCGGGTTTGAGGGGAAGAGCACACAAAAAACACAAAACAGTTGGACCATGAAAACAGTAACTAAAAGGAACAGCAGACGTCACAGCACTAAGCAAGTTGTCTCCGTCTCGAGTCTCGAGTCTCCCAATCCCAGTCTCATTCTCATTCATTCGCTGTCGCTATACCCCCTGTCTTCCAATGTGTGTGTGTGCGTGTGTGTGTGTCAAGACAATGGACTGCGACAAGTGCGGAGTCTATAAAAACTACATGCATTGAGCGCGGGGGCGAGCGAACTACTACAAAAACTACAACTTGCAAATGCGCAGCGCTAACAGTGGGGCTCAGTACCAGACGAGACGGGTCGACGACAACAATACAAAAGGAAAACTTGTAAAAGGACTGCATTAAAAACTGATGGAACAGTATATGCCCCATTTCAAGTATAATTCCCTAGACATTCTAAAAAGACTTCTTCAAAGTTTTAAATATATTTTATTTTAAGCATGTTTCTAACACCAATATTTATTTTTAAAAGGTATACAAGAGTTCGCATCCCAAATTTTTTTTACTTAGCATTTATAGACTCTGAGTTCTATGAGATGAGTATTATGATATATAATATTTTACTGATTCACTCCAGTGCTTGTTTGATTTCTTAACATAGATAGAAAAATTAACTCCCTGAAAGATACTTGAGTGTATATACGAAGTTTTCAGGCACTATCTATTTAGCACATGAGTTCCTTGAGGAAGTGTCCTTATGCTCACTACGATAACGTATGTGCGGTTCATTACAATCAAAATTATCATTGAATAGTCTGTAAGACTCCATATCGCAAATATTAAGATACTGCTTTTTAGAGTTCCCGAGGTCCTTGGGGTCTTTGCGAAAGAAAATTCATTCCTGGCAATTTTTATTAGACCTTGAGAAGTTACTTAACATGTTAAACAAAATATATTCCATAAGGAAATATTGCTATGCTATTATAGCACCCGAGATCCTTGAAAGAATCTTTATTCCTCCCTGAGTATGGAAGAGCGGGTAAAGTTATTTAACACGCAAGACAAAACATATTCCTACAAGAAATATTTAAGCCCACATACCAAATTTTCTAGCACTAGCCTCTATGGCAACCGAGTTCCTTTAGGTCAAAATGCTCTGCCAAGTCTAACACTGCCTGCCCACAAAGATTGTCAACTAACAGGGTATGTAAAACCGCATGCCCAACATAAAAACTACAACCGCACAACTATAATGAAAGTTTTGGCTGGTTGTATCGCTCGACATGCACTTGGGCGCATTTGTGTTGGACTGCAGGAGCAGCAGGAGCCGAGCGCAAAGACAGACACAAGGAGCAGAGCAGGAGCTGCAGGAGCTGAAGGAGCTGTCGCATTGTCTATGCGGCGAGTTGTTAAGCACAGCGTTGCATTTTGTACTTGCAACAACAGAAGCAGCAGCAGCAGCAACAGCAGCGGCAAGACAATAACCCGCACCCAGCTGCATGTGTCTGGTTTGAAATGTTTGTTGCGGCGGGTGTGTGTGTGTGTGTGTGTTGTTGTTGTTGTGTGTCTTCTTTTGTTGCAGCATAGAAAAAGGCAAGCGACAGCTGTTGCAAATTTCTTTTGCCACAAAATTTGCAATGCGGAGCGGCGTGAAGTAAACGAAATATGAACTGAATTATTGACTTTCTGAGTAGCTGAGTAGAGGCAAGGGGCGAAGAGAAGCGGGAAAATTCGAATTGCTCGAGCAGCTAATTGACTTGTTGCCCCTGCAACGGGACATTAATAAACAGTTGGCGCCGCAAGGCAACAAATGTTAATTGCCCTGAACTTTGAACTTGTTGAGCTGTCAGGAAATTCGTGAGATTTTCACCAGGGGAGATCGGGTTGGGGCAACAAAGCCTCCAGCTGACAGGCACTTTGAAAATTGTGCCCCCCGCGGCGCCAAGAAATCAGTTAAGAAAATAAAAGAGCTAGCGAAAAGGTAAATAGCGAAGGGGAGGTACCACAGAATCAGAGAAAAACGACTTTCTAAATTCTAGCAGATCCAGCATTCAATTCACATTGCTTTGTTTCCTTAATATTCTGGAATGAAGAACTCAATACTTATTTGCAAACTTAATAAAACTAAGAAGTAAATGCTACGATAAAGAATTTACTTGTTTGAAAAAAACACAAAACGTTCTTAATTTAAGTAAAGCAGTTATATAATCAAGTACTTTGTTATCAAGTACTGCATTCTGGAAACTCAAATCTGAAAAAAAATTTTGTGAAAAATATCGTTTGAGATTAAGAATTTTAAAAGGTTTTCTCGATTTAAACTAAGTGCACAATTCTCCCAATAAAATCTCCACATTTCTATAGTTAAGTAATGCATTACTTTTCCTCTGTGAATTTGGAGCTTAAATAAAGTTCGAGGCTTAACAATTTTGTGCTTAGTTTAAGAAGTTTAAAGCCCAGCTAAATTTTGACTAATTTCTCGGGGTGAATTTGTAGAAAAGGGGAAGGAAAAAGCATTTTCACAATCAAAACTTTAATTTTGAAGCGTTTGAAGATTAATTTTGAAGATTTGCAGCAGCAAAACAAATTATGCGGCAGCTGATATAAATCATTAAGCGAGTAATATGTGGGTGAGGTTGGGTTGGGTTAGGGCACGAACCCAGTGATAACCCAGTGCTTGCAACACACATGCGACCACATGCGGCGCTTGGGTCACTTAAAAATTATGACAAGCGGCAGGCGAGCCAAAAACTGCAAAAGAGACAGGCAGAGAGAGAAAAAGAGATAGAGAGTGAGAGAGGAGAGGTAACATGACTGGCATTGTAGTTGGTTATGCATGCAACACACAAAAACCTTGCAACTGGCAGCTGGCAGGCAGCCCAGTGGCAAGCTAAGTGGGTGGTAGGGGGGTAGTCATTGGTGGAAGGGAGGGGCCAGCTAGGTCAGGCAGCTAAACGGGTTTTTGCCACGGCCTACGCCAATTGGCAAAGGCAAACAAAACGTAACGCGAGGCCAAAAACAAGCAGCCACCTTGGCACCGCTTTCAGATGAGGCTCTGGTCAAGGGGAGTTTGGGGGGAGGGGTGCTTGGCTAAGAGGGCGTGGCACGGCGCAACTAACACAAAATTTTGTTGGCAAGCGGCAAACGCTGCGCCAAGCCAAACGAAACTTTTGACTCGTTAAAGCCTATTGGCGCAGCTGGAGAGCCGGCATGGCAAGGGAAACGAGGCGGGCAGGATTTGAAAACAAGAGAAAAGCAGCTCACAGCTCAGCTTTAGCTTTTATTTGCAACCAACAAACAAACAAATCAAAGACATAAAATTATATGTATATATACCACATAATACGCTGGCTGTTTGAACAGAGAGAAAAGGGCAGAGAGCGAGTGTGAGCGAGAGAGAGTGTGAGAGATGGAGAGAGAAGGAAGATGCTTACAGCATCTACCTGTAACGCCAGCCACGCCCGCCCACCAACAAATATTTTGCAATATTAATTTTCCGATGTTGAGGCTCATAAATTTCTGCCAAAAGAGAAAAGTAAAACTTTTTACTCGATTTTTTCTTTGCAGGCGCAAAATATGCAAAAGACGCAGAAAAGTAGGCAACACGCGAGTAAAAACGCCAAAATAATGCCAAGTAATGGGGAGAATCAAGCAAAAAGTATATCATAAAAAAATTATAAGCTTTGTAGCTAAGCATGCACGGACTGTTAAATACTCTGTAAAGAGTATGAAGCAGAAAAAGGATATCAATAACAATATATAATACTAAATAAAAATCAATAAATAATAAACTAAAAATAAATAAATTTAAAAAATATATTATTATCTAATGAGAATTAATAATTAATAACTAATAATATTAAATAATAAATATTAAATCAGTTAAATTATTTATAATTTAAAATATATTTTAAGAAATGAATAAAATGAATTATTGAGTGAACAAACTCATAAGAGAAATAAAGTTATTTTTATACTCTTTGATCTTAGCTCTTAAGAAGAGTGTCAAAAAGATCTGCTATATAAAAATTTGCTAGATATTGAGATGTATATACAGATATATATAAATGAAATATGGGACTAGTGTATTCCCAAATAATGAAATAATGAAAAAATTAAATAGAATTTCGCTAACAGAGAGGAACAGACCTTAGAAAAACCGATATACCTCTCGTCTATTCGAAATAGGGCATATTCAAATAAACAAAAAATATTTTGGTGGCCAGGGACTGGCTTGGCTTGCAGGGGTTGTGGGATTTTTGTTGTTTTTTTTTTTGTACAAGCTGTCAAATAAAATGGCGCATAAAATTTTAATGCATATAAAATGATTTAATTTGCTGGACGTCGCTTAAAGAGGGGCGTGGCAGCTATGTGGGGCACAATGCGCGTATGAGTGTGTGTTTGTGTTAGCAAGAGGCGTGGTCGCAGGCGCTGGCTACACATAAGAGAAATGAAAGCGACGCTGGCGACGGCCGCGGGTAATTACTTTGATGAAAAATGGCAGTTACAGTGATTAAGCAGAGTGAGAAGAACAGAGAGAGAGAGGGAGAAGAGGGAGAGAGAGCGCAGGGCAAAGGGAGTCTGCTACAATATAGTTGATTACACATACGCCATGTGGTGCCAGGCAGGAAATTAAGCTGGTCAAAACGGAAGCAGCCAGGCAGGGCAATGTATGGGTAGAATATGTGCGCATGTGAGAGTGTGTGTGAGTGTGTGTATGTGAGTGTCTTGCCGCCTAATGATGTCAGCCATGTTTGCAGCGAACACGCAGTTGCCGCATTAGTTGTAATTGCGGCGGCAGGCGCCTTAAATGCCCCCCAAAAAGAAAGTAACCCAACTTTAAAGCAGCAAAAAGCAACAGCAAAACTTGCCCCAAGGCATGCCAAAAAAAAAAGCTTGTTTCAAGGCGTCCTTTGTGTATTTTTAAGTAAATATCGACAAAATATGCCAGGCACATAAAGCAGAAGGACCTTGCCGACAGACAGACATGAAAAATCTAGCAAAAAGCAGCTTGCCACAAAAAAGCGCTGGAGAGAAATTGCAATGGCGATGGGCAGCAACTGCAACTGCAACGGCAACAGCAACAACAATGACAATAAATTGCAACAAAAATGAGCAATGAGTAATTCATATTGTAAGCTGCTGCTGCAACGCCTGGACATGCCCCAGCTCCTTACTCGAGCAATTCAACGCAACATCAATCTTCAAACTAGCTGGGGAACGAGCAGAGGCATGTTGCCACGAAGCATGGGGCATGGGGCAGGTACGGGGTGTGGGGCGCATGCTTACTGGTGCCGCAGCGTCTGCCACAATTTGGGCGAACGTGGCTTTTATGTGGCTGCTGGGAATACGAATCGACAACAGCAACGTGGCAACGCTGCGCCTCAGATTGCGGCACTGTGGCAACTACTACTACGTGAGCTGCGACGCGCTGCGCTGTGCTGTGCTGCGCCTCGCGTTTGTAATATGCTTGTAAATGCAATAAATTTTGTTAGCTACGCTTCGCAA